CGTGTTGTTCGTGTTCGGCTCGTTAACTTAGCGAACGAGCCGAACACGAGCTTCTTAACAAGCCGAACACTAGCTATTCGTGAACAACGAGCCATTTTGACAGCCCTAATGACAATAGTTATGTTAATAGTAAAAACACTGACAATCGAATTAGAAATAAGATAATAAATTGTCAAATAAAATCATTGAAAATTTATTCCTTTTTCTTCACAATCAGATTCGTAATTAATGAAATTGCGCTTAATTTGTCCTCATTAAAATATTTATATTTATTAGAATATGAAGATAATACAGCAACTGTGTAAACACACAGCCCCAGTGGATTAAGCTGCGTGCCTTTTTCTTCATTCCTAAATCCTTAATTACAGGGACGACAAGACAGAGATTTGCAAACTAAAGAGTATGATAATCAAACAATACACTATAAATTCAGTTAATCCTTCTCTTAATCTCCCTTTCCAACTCCTCCGTCCCTCCCACCTCTTCCAGTTCCTGTTCATAATATTAAAAAAAAAAAAGATTTACATACAGATACCATTCAATTTCTATGCATTTACATATCTACCACCTTGTCTTCAAAGTTTACATACATATCCTATGAAAGGGTGTAAATATGAAAATTTTACAATGTGATATGAAAATTTTAGGTGGCATGAATATAAAAAACAACTTTTGGATGTTAAATCTGTTATATATAGCAGTTGGCTGGTATCTATGTAAAAGTAAGGCCACATTTATAAATGTGTCCACATTTATATATAGCACTTCTTTATTTTTTCACGATGCAACAACTTGAGTAAAGTGGAACTAACCTTGGGGCCCAGAAATAGCCCATACGGGACGCCATTAAACTTATCTGTATGGTGGATCTGCAGCCAAATTATTTTGCATTATATTGGATTCAATTAAGAAACAACTATTATGGTATAAAATATGTTCACATGTCAACCTATTAAATTTATAAGAATTACTTTACATACCATAATAATTTGATAAACTATATATTAAAACTCTAATTAATTAATAGCAATATAATTAATAATCGTTTCAATTTTTTGTCAGTTTGAGAGACATCCGAAGAGAATATCTTCACTGAATTATAAAGATTTTATAAAAATATATATACAAAATCAATCTTTTACATTATTCATATCTTTTCAAAAGCTGAAACACCTTTTTTTTTTTCATGTATAGATAAGACGGGATATATATGTAAAAATGAATGCTAGGTGTGATATGTAAATGCATAGGAATTAGGTGGTATGTGTGTACCAGATGAGCGGCGGCCACACGCTGGAAATAGGGGACGTTAGCAATGGGACCCACCGGGAATCGTCGGTGCACCAGACCGTCGTGGACGAACATATAAGCCATCCCGAAAAGTGTAATTCCCAGCCCCTATTTCGAGGGGAAAAGTGAAACCCATGTTATTGACATAGTATATTAAAAGGTAAACTTATAAAATAGAAAAAATGCGGTGAAAGTTAGCAGCGCTTACCGCACCGAAGCATAGGCCGGAGAAGAAACCACGATGGAAGAAACCGAAGGAGAGGAGAGCAATGGCGGGGATAGCATTAATGATCGCGAAGACATCGTTGACCTCAAACGGGCCTTCCCGCGGCCTGTGGTGCGACTTATGCATGGGCCAAAGTGACGCATGCCATAGAGCCCGGTGTGCCCATCGGGCCCAATACTCCATGCCTACCTACGTACGTAACCATACAAATTTTGTCAAAAATGTTTTTTTTTGTATTAAAATTACCTTATAATTGTATTTATATTTCTCCAGAAGCCTATTCTTAAGTTTTTAATATACTTGTTTTAGGAATAAACCTATCTTATAAATTATTTGATCATAATGACTCAATTCACGTATCAAAAACTTCAAATATATAATTTGATCAAAATTAAACGATAATCTTGGAATGAACAAAAGATATTATTATTTGGAAGGTTGGAAGTAGGGCTGTCAAAATGGCTCGTTGTTCGCGAATAGCTCGTGTTCGACTCGTTAAGAAGCTCGTGTTCGGCTCGTTAATTTTATTCGATAAGTTAACGAGCCGAACACGGACCTAAATGTGTTCGCGTGTTCGGCTCGTTTTGGCTCGAAATACTACTCATCAAGTTTATATATTAAGTAGTATTTTAAGAAAATCTAATTGACTACAAGGCTACAAAGATTTATAACCAATTAAAATATTGATTAAGAAAATAGAATAAAAATTATTAAATTAGATTCAAATGTTGTTTTAATATAAATAATAATTTTTAATTTTGCTCAAACTCTTTTCGTCTTATGAATACATGATTAGGGTTGTTAAAATGACTCTTTGTTCGTGAACAGCTCGTGTTCGGCTCGTTAAGCAAACGAGCCGAACACGAACACACTTTTGAG